CCTGAACTGGGATGCCGTTCACATGGAACGATCCTAAACAGAGCACATATCAACAACATAAACATCATAAAAATAAGTCAGAGGGAAAGAATCATACCTGTCACCACATCAGGTGCAGCGCATGCCTCCTTGGCTGTCAGCTGAAATGCTCGGCTCCGCACCACCGGAGCCTCTGCCTTGACCTTCCGGCCATCTGTAACCCGCGCCGTCGCTGAGACCGGCGCCACTGCTGGCGCTGCTGTCAATCTCGGGCAATTGGCCCTTTTGTGGCCCCTCTGATTGCAATGGAAGCATATAAGATCTGTCATCTGTACCGCAGGGGCGGGGGCAGTACAATCCCTGCCAAAATGCCCCACCTTGCCACACTTATAGCAGCCCGAACCCGGCCCAGTGCGACAAGATCCCTCGTGTGACCAACCGCATTTCCCACAGCGGTCCCGTCCTGCCTGGCCTTTCGGCCTACCATCAGATCCCCTGGGCTTCTTCCCCGAAGCCCCAGTCGTCAGCCCCTCCACTGCCTTCCTCTTCTAGACGTGATCCAGATCAATCTCCCTCTCCCTAGCCCTGGCAATCATGGAATCCTAGGTAGGGCAAGCTGAAAAACTAACATGCTCCCGAATGTCATCTCGTAGCATGTCATGGTAGCGGGTCCTCCTCATATCCTCATCTCCCGCATACTGGGGCACCAACAATGCCCTCTCCCGGAACTTGGCGGTGATCTCCGCCACAGTCTCCGTAGTCTGCCTCATATCCAAGATCTCCCTGGCCAACCGCTGAAGCTCCACAGCTGGCGCAAACTCCGCCTTGAACCTGGTCACAAAGTCTAACCATGTCATAGCCTTAACAGCCGAGGCTCCCAATGAGTCACCAACAGACTCCCACCAATCTCTAGCCCTGTCTCGCAGGCATCCTGCTGCATATCTCACCTTCGACCCCTCCGGGCAGAAGCTCGTCAGCTGCGCAGACTCAATGTCTGCGATCCATCTCCTAGCGGCAATGGGGTCTTTCACCCAATGGAAATCTGACGCACCACTCCCTCGAAAGTCCTTAAAGGACAGTGTGCGCGTACCCACCTGGCTAGACGCCATATCACTCCTGAACGTTCGGAGGCGATCCTCCATCAGCTCAACAATCCCTTCCTTGATCTACCCGAAAATGATAGGGGTCGACTCAAGGACGCCTCTCGTGATCTCAGACGCGATGAACTCGCGCAGCCCGTCATCAACCTGCTCGGATCCCGAACCCGAGCCTGATCCCGATCCTGATCCGGAACCTCCTGCTCCATGTCGTGTGGTCACCATGCTGAAAATACACGCATAAATGTCAGGATCATACATATACTCGAGAGATCTAACACACTTTCCAAGGTCCCCGGTTTCATCTAGGCCCTCCTTGATTCGAGTACGGGTCCTCTGCTTTCAGTAGTACGGGCCCATACTACATTCCACATCTACCCGTGCTTTCCTCAAGGATTGCTTCGACTTCACCAAGTCCCTTTTACCGATACCCTTTCCACTGACCTCATCCTAGGCTTCCCTAAGGCACTCTCCGACCTACCCTCCGCCATCAGCTGCACTAGGAGTCCCCACCACCTCCCGCTAACTAGCTTGCGGATACTGTCACATATCCATTCATTAGTTAGTCGAAGGTGGCCAGAACCCCCATAGCACAAAACAAGCAGCATTTGTGCATCGAGTAACCAAATCAGGCATAACCTATACAGGCCATCCTACTGCTAACTAAACAGCCCTAGCATACAGCTCACACAACGGCATCTAAGGCATCCTCCTAGATCCTCAGCCCTAACTAGCATGCAATTCACAGAATCAAAATATCAGGCACACAAGGCATCCTCCTAGATCCTTAGTCCTATTCTAGCATGCAATTCTGAATCAAAGCCGTATAGCATAACATAACAAGTATGGGTATCTTGGGGAAAACTTACTTGAGCCCGGCCGGTCGCATGCATCACACACCTTGTCTTTCTTAAAATCCTTCCGTTTAGATTTTTAGAAACCATTTTATTGTAAAAATCTTTTAGCCCCTCAGTTTGAGTCCAGACACCCCCGAGGGTGTGTCCGAATCCCTCAAACCAGGGCTCTGATACCAACTTGTAACATCCCAAAATTCAAGTCCAAAAATTTCATTTTTAATTAATTAACTCATAAAACATTCACTAGAAAATATTGTATAAACACGTCATCTCATAAAATCAAGTATCATGTTTGAAACCCACAACATAAACAAATATCATATCAGAGTACAATCCCAGAAAACACCGTGCGGAAAATCAGATGTGTGTGTGATGCCATGCTACGCCGCCGGCTCCTTCCCCTTAGACGAAGAGGTACCTGAAACCAAAAACTGAAACCTTAAGCACAAAGCTTAGTGAGTTCCCCCAACATACCACATACCATATAATACCAGATACCGGTAATCATCATCGATATCTTTCAACCGGTAATCGTCATCGGTATCTTTCAACCGGTAATCATCATTGGTATCTTTCAAACCGGTAACTGGGGACTATTCCACCCCTTACCACTAGCATATAATAACAAGATATAAGCATACAGTCAGGCATATCCGGGTACTGACCTACCCCTTGGTCCTAAGGACCACTATCAGAGAAACTATCCCTATCATGCACGTAACATATCATACATATATAACTCATAACCAAACACACACCAGACCAAGATAATTATCACAAAGACAATCATCTTCTAATACTCCTCATTGGTGGGCCGGCATTGTGGCCTTAGACCCACCCCTACTGGAAGGTAACTCACCTCAAAAGGCTGGCTGCTGAAAAGCTGATCCGCAAATGTCTGACAACTGCTCCGGTGATCCCCCGACTATATTTCCATAAAACACTTAATCAGACATTGATACTATTCCCAGGGTAAAATGACTATTTTACCCCTGACCGATTCCAAACCAAAGTCAAGTCAAAGTCAAAGTCAACTTCCAGTTGACCCGACTCGCCGAGTTGGCTTGCCAACTCGTCGAGTCCATATCCAGTCGATTGCCTCTACTCCCGTCTCTACTCGTCGAGTTAGGCATTGACTCGACGAGTTCACTTCCTAACTGATACTCAATGGTCCTTCATCCAACTCGTCGAGTTGTATGAACAACTCGTCGAGTTAATCTTCATCCGATGAACACGTTCTGTCCTTGACTCGCCGAGTTGATGAACAACTCGTCGAGTTCTATGAAGATTGCCTTGGACTCGCCGAGTCCGTTCATGCACTCGTCGAGTACCATGAATTTCCAGAACAATTTGCTTAGTCCAGAACGTTGGGTCACTCCCCGGGACTCCCTAAAACCTTTCCACACTCAACTGGTCCTTTTGACCCTCATAGATATGGGACAGAACCCTTGGACTCGCCGAGTCCAGGAGTGGACTCATCGAGTCGGTCACCTCCGCTCCTTAAAACTTCGATTTCTGATGTACAACACTTGTCCAAAAGATAGATCCAAGCCCCTAAACTCGATCTAGCACGTAAAGTTACAAACTTTACGTGCATGCGTGGGACTTTTGAGCTTAAAAGGCTCTAAAATGGTTCTTTTGTTGCATGGGGCCTTCCTTGGGTGCAAAAGCAACCCAAATCTGTCTTGTGACTCCAATATTGACATGATCCAGAAGCTCAAACCCCCAACCATGTTTGCAAACATGGTTGGCCACCAAAAATGGCTTATAAAAGCCCTAATTCACCTCAAAAAAGGGATCTAACAAATGAATGAGCAAGGTTCAGACTTTATACCTTCTGTAGACTGCAAATGATAAACCAAACTTGAATCCTTCAGTCTCCTCTTGATCCTTCTATGCTCTTCCTTCTTCCTTGAGGTCAAAACTCACAAGAATCACTCAAAAGCCTTAGATTTTCTCAAGAACGGCTAGGGTTTGCTATGAGAAGTGTTTGGGAGCATAAAATGGGGGAATGGAGGCTGCACAAGGTCGTTTAAATAGGGTGCAAACTCCTAGATTAGGGTTTTTGTCCAGACAGCGGCTACTCGCCGAGTCCGCAACTTAAACTTCGCGTCTCATCCCGCTTCTACTCGGCGAGTCAGTCCTTCGACTCGCCGAGTCCAAGGCCAAAAATGCAAAAATAATTGAAGATTTAATAACAGAATACGTACCAAGAACCAGGTGCTACAAAAACAAACTAGTGATAATAAAATAAGTAAACAATCAAAATAAGATACAGCTACCAAGATGGTACTAGTTATATGAAAATACAAAAACTACCCTTAATCAATCAAGGGTGAAAAGGTAATTTCACCTCCTCATCTTGTTCACCCATCAACTCCAGTACAGGACAGCAGAGTGCCTTCGTATTAATGCTTCTAGTTCTGCTTTTAAGCCAGGCAGCATAGACACTTTTGACCATAATCTTTCATACTGCACCAAAAAAAGCATATGAGATCAAAGGGTAATATATACATTTACCATCCAAAATGTATAACATAATGGAAAAAAAAGGAAACTCTACCTCCTCTGTCAATTTAACCAACTCCTCAGCAAGAGAGTCGCGAATGGATTCCATGGATGCCTGAATGCTACAAATTAATGCAAAAACCTTCGATTTCATTGTTGTCCCTATTTTTCACCAATCTTACCAGTATAATCATGGAGATATAAATTAACATATTTTTCATCTGTTGATATAGAACATTCCTAACAAAGATTCACCAAATAACACCCAAAATGTATTACTACTTATGTTAAAAGAATGTTAAAATTTTTACTAATCAATTAATCATCACATCACCTTCTTCTTTACCCTTATGTATTGATGAAGCCATCCAGACACATCTATCAGTAATTTTTTCCTGTAGATCTTATATATTTCTCATGTTTTGACTTACATTGACTTCAGTTACTGAAAAGACAACATCATATATCATAATATCAGTGAATATTATTATTACCTCAAAGAGAAAAAGTAACACTAAGCTTCTTCAAGATTTACACGTACCAGGATGGCATCATTTCACTAAGTGGCTTTGCTGGAGGCATATGCATGAAAAGAGAATTTGTAAAAAACTCTAATGAAACTCATTAGCAAAATCTCAAAAACCACTTCAAAAGGTAAAAACTTAATGAAACTCGGGATGAAACCGAGATGCAAAGAAATTTTATATGTAAAACTGATCATCAATTCCTTTGTAGAAATCATGAAAATTGGAACACCTTCTTGAACTTTGATCTCAACCACAATATAAAATTCCAAAATTGCCCCTTGGTTTCAAAATTAAAGTTAACCCAACAGCCATGGCAAGAATCAAACTCAGCAACAGCATTTTCAAAAGGAAAAAAAAAATATTTTGATCAGCCGCAAACCAAACAAGAATATTCAAGAATTGCCCTTTGTTTATGACATAACAATGAACCCAACAGTCTTGACTAGGATCAAAATCAGCAGTATGAAGAACAAGAAACCCTTCCATAAATTTGTCAATCATGGACCAATAACAGAAAAACTTCTGATCAAGCAACCCCTGCTTCTCAAACCAAGGAGATTGGAAGAAAAAAAATATCAAAGAAGAGGCTACTTCGATAAAAAGGAACAGGGGTGCACCCATTTCTTTCCCAGTAATACCGAATTCTATGAAAATTAACAAGCTGACCAAAATGCCCCTAAATAAGTAACCACCATTTTTGAAAGCAATACAATCCAGAATATATAAGAAAAAATAAAATTAAAAGATTGTTGTAACCCACTAACCTCAAAAGAACCCAGGAAGCCATAAGAAAAAACTTATAATCTTCCATATACCAAAAATGCCCATGACCGATATACACTTGCACCTTCAACCACCAAAGCCGATAAAAAGAATCCTTAGAATTATTGAAACCAAAGATCAACACGATACCGCAATGATCAGAAGGCAGCGACAGGACCCAAAAAACTTCAACGACAACAAAAAAAAGTTTGCAATATGTCTAAAATACCCTTTGACCAAACCAATATACCACCAAACGAATCTTTTAATTAACACTTTTCCCCCTTATAACGACAATTCCCTTTTCCAAATATATACAATTAATCCAACACATTCCACTTATCTCAGGGTATTTCCTTTTTCTTCCACAAATGACAAAAAAACCTTATGATCAGACAAACAAAATTCCAATCACAGGCCTCACATTTCTTTCTCCACCTTAATTCGAAAATAACCTCTTCAAGATACGTACAGTTGAACCAATAACCTCCAATTATCTCACCAATATTCATTTTTCCCAACAAATGTCGAAAATACCCTTTCAGCCACATTTTAATAAACCAATTTTTATTTGACCCATCTCTGATTCTATATAATTTGACCTGAATAGAACAGTTCCAAATAATTCTTATTAACACTCAACTCTCCAAAATCTCATTATTCCTAAAATACTTATTGTTCTTCCTGATAACAGAGACAAATAAATCCCTGTTGATAATATTTTTTTGACAGCAACTCTGCCATCAAACATTCCAACCCAACTTAAACTTTGTTTTGATCCCCATTAATACAGACTTCATTATTGACTGGAACACAAATTTTGCAAATCTCGACATTCAGAACTAGATATCCCAATTTAAGGCTAAACATCTTATGTATTATGTCTTCAAAAATGATCTTGACCACTTTATCCACAAAATTAATTTGTCTTCCAAAAAGTTTCTTATTTCTTTCTTTCCAAATGTGGTAAATAGAAGCTGCCAAAGCCATTTTCTTGATGAAATTACCAATATTTTTAGACTTAAGAGAAACTAGGAGTTCCTGAATTATCTCAAACCAACTTCCAGGCTTATGCTTAATGTTAACTTTGAGCTTCACCAAATTCCAAACTTCCATGGGAAAATTAAAATAAAAAAAATAAGCGACTATGTGAATCCACATGGCCATTACAGAAAGCACGATTGAAATCATTTGAAACTTTCCATTTTTTCATTTTGTCTTGACCAACAAGATCAAACCAATCAAATTTGAAACCAAACCACATCAAACCAATCAACTTTGGGCTCATGACCAACAAGAGAAGTAGAAACTTGACTAACATCAAATAGGACAGTATCTCTCTTCCAATACATCCAAAACAGTTCATGATTTAGGTTTAGGGTTTAAGGTTTACATAGTATACCTTAGATCAGGTGATAAAAGACCACGAGTAACCATCACATATAACTCATATACAGCTTTAGCAGCTCCTTTTGCGAGCTTAGGTTTTTCATCCAAGTATAATTAACAAAAATTACCAGAAGACCGGCCAATGCATTCTTCTTTGCCCCTGCTATCAAACAAGCTTCTGCAACCACAATACTCAGCCTACAAATTATGCAAAAAGATAACACTTTTTAGTTTCAATTTTCAAGAATTAGGACAAAAAAGTTTGTTTCTTTTGTATATATGTTGAGAGATTTACAGTGAGAATGTGAAATAGATGATGGTCCAAGCTCGATTTCCACCAGGTGCTAATGGCCTTCCAAAACACATGCATTTGGTTACTCCCATGAGTAAGGATTCACCTGAGAGAAGAAACAGAAATGCACCAACGCCATAGCCTACTGCTACATCTGAATCGTACACGCAGCAAGTGGAATTGGTTGCATTATCTGTGTGAAGGTTCATAGCAGCTTTAGTGTTCAAAAACCTCGATCTCATGAAGCAAAAGAATGGAATTGAAACGACGAACTCATTTAGCAAGCCAGCAGATATAATCGTCGCTAAACATGAGAAAATCAATGTGTACAGAGGAATCGAGCAGAAAACCCTAGCTACGGCGGCGTTCGGCGGCAATGGCGAAACCAAAAGCAACTAAGCATAAGATGATAACTAGAAGATGAACCAGGGATGAGCCTTTTCCTTCGCCCATCTTTCTTGTGCTGCTGCTGCTGTTGCTAGGTTGTTTGTAGAGAGAGAAAGAGTGGAGTGAAAAAGGGTGCGCACTTGTGAGGTCCATAGCATAAAACCCTAGTTCTTCTTTGATATCGGGGACAAGAAAAACCTTAAAATCACCGGCGTTTCGAGTTTGAGGAGTCGTAGACCCCCAATCGCCGACTCCATGAAAGATATGGTGAGGTTCGATTTTTGGGGAAGGCGGGGTACTTGAATTTTTTGGGGATTTGGTTTCCCCCTTTAGTTGCATGAAAGAGGGACGCGCATATTAAAATTTTATAAAACGACATCTCTACACGACACCCACTTAAATTTAGGTGTCTTTCGTGTTTTTAATTTTTTTTCGTTGGACATTAATTTTAGGGCACGCACAAATGCGCGTCCTCTATCAGCGCGTGTCATTGTTTGCGCGTCATTAAAGGGCTGTTTTCTAGTAGTGAGATTAATTAAATAAGGGGGACTGGAACTGTCAATTATAAGATAGTTGATTTTGGGCTATGAACCCTCATGGACATAAGGGGGACGAAATTAGGAGTGGAAGCTCACTCTAATTTCGTCCAAGGAGGCCTTATTCCAGAAGGTTCTTTAGCTGCTTAGGGCCTAAGTCATCCAATTAGGGTTTTAACTGAAATCCTAGCAGCTCAGCTATATAAGGGACCCCAGGGCTTCAGTTTCGGCTACACCAAGAAACCCTAGAGTTACTATAGCCGAAATTGTTCTTCTCCTTCTCTCTTCTAGATCATCTTCTTGCTTGTGGTGTTTGTGAGCCATTAGAGGTGTTACACTTGTGACACTAAGCTTCTTGAAGATCACAGATTCTTGCAACTATTGAAAGGTATCATCTAAACTAGTTTTATTGTACATATCGCTTTTAATAGTATGCTAGATTAGGGTTTCAAGCTTTGGATAAATTTGCATGTACAATACAGAAACCTAGATCCAAAGCTTTGGGGTTTTGCATGTGCACATAGGATGTTCTTTTGCTCAAAACCCATCAATATACACATGACTCATCCTCGCATCTCAAAAAACCAAACTCTTTGACTTTCTCATCGAAACAAAGATTCCATCTGCGAGATGCTTGTTTCAATCCATAAATGGATTTCTCAAGCTTAGACAGTCTATTAGGGTGCTCTGTATTGACAAAACCTTCTGGCTGACTCATGTAAACATCTTCAGCCAACTTCCCATTAAGGAAAGCGGTTTTGAGGTCCATTTCCCATATTTCTTAGTCATGAAATGCAGCAATGGCTAGCATAACCCTTATAGATTTAATCTTCGCAACTGGTAAGATGGTCTCATCATAGTCAACTCCGGGAGTTTGAGTAAAGCCCTTCGCAACCAATAGCGCCTTATAAGTGTGTACTTTTCCATCCATGTCGGTCTTCTTCTTGAATATCCACTTGCACTCTACCGTCTTACGACCTGGCACATTGTCAACCAAGTTCCAAACTTGATTGTCATACATGGACTGAATCTTGCTGTCCATAGCCTTTTTCCATTTCCCAGACTTCGGGCCTGCCATGGCTTCCTTGTAGTTGTTAGGCTCATCCAAATTTATCAGTGTACTATCACTAATAAACATATCACCTTCACTTGTTATATGAAAACCATACAACACAGGTGGAACACTAACTCTACTGGAACGTCTAAGAGGTAAGGACTCGTCAATCGGTTCAACAGGAGTTTCTTCCTCGGGTTGAGGGCCAGTGTTAGAGGTTCCTTCATCGCTTGATTCTTGAAGCTCTTCAAGATCAATTTGCCTCCCACTGTCCTCTTGGCATATGAGTTCTCGCTCTCGGAAAACCCCTCTCCTTGCAACGAAGACAACATTGTCACTCGGTCTATAGAAGAGATATCCAAAGGACTTCTGCGAATAGCCGATGAAAATACACCGCTCACTACGAGGTTCGGTATTTTCGTGAATCGCTCGTCTTACGAAAGCCTCACAACCCCAAACCTTGATATGTGCCAACGAGGGAACCTTCCCTGTCCACATCTCGTGAGGTGTTTTGGCAACCTTCTTAGCCGCGACTAGATTAAGGATATGGGCGGCAGTCTCTAAGGCATACCTCTAAAATGACATAGGTAACGAAGCCCGACTCATCATGGAATGAACCATGTCCAACAAGGTTCGATTGCGCCTCTCAGCCACACCATTCAACGGCGGTGTCCTAGGTGGCGTCGATTGCAAAATAATTATGCATTCCGTGAGGTAGTCGTGGAATTCAATACTAAGGTACTCACCACCTCGATCGGATCAGAGCATCTTAATTTTCCTGCCCAGCTGATTCTCCACTTCTTTGCTTAAACTCTTTGAACTTTTCAAAGGTTTCTGACTTGTGCTTGATTAAGTAGATATACCCATATCTACTATAGTCATCGGTAAAACTCACATAGAAGCGGTTCGCATCCCTTGTGGTGGATTTAAAGGTCCCACATACATTGGTATGTATGAGATCCAATAAACCCTCCCCCTTTTCACAAGTGCTAGTGAAGGGTGACTTGGTCATCTTTCCAAGCAAACAAGACTCGCACGTGTCATCGTCCCTAAGGTCGAATGGCTCCAAGACTCCATACTTTTGGAGTTGGGCAATGCGCTTCTTTTTGACATGTTCAAGACGACAATGCCAAGAGCATGCCTTATCCAAACCATTAGAAGAATCGATATGCAACACGTCATTTCCTAAGTTGTCTATAACCATCACAGTTTCATATATTCCATTACTAGGCAATGCTTCAAAATAGAAAGTACCATTAAAGAAAGCATTAATAGAACCATTTTCATTATTAAACGAAAATCTAAAACCTTGTTTATACAAACCATGAAAAGAAATAATGTTTCATGTCATTTCTGACGAATAGCAACAATTATTCAAATCTAAACCTAACCCACTACTAAGCACGAAAGAGTAAACTCCAATCTTGGTGACATGCGACACTTTCCTATTCCCCATGATCAAGTTTATCTTCCCATGTCTGCATCCCTACTTCTTCTTAGACCCTGCAAATCAGAACAAATGTGAAAACCAAATCCTGTATCGAGGACCCAAGACATAGCATGTGATGAGTTATTAGATTGAATAGTATAAATACATGCGAAGCTGGGCTTTATCTTCCCATCCTTGATGTCTTGCAGCTACTTCGGGTAGCTTCGTTTCCAATGCCCTTTCTCATGGTAGTAGTAGCACTCTGCATCCTTCGGGTTGGAAGAGGGAGCAGCAGGACCAGCTTTGGTTCCACTAGAAGAGGAACCATCGTGAGACTTTCCCTTGTGGCTCTTAGAAGGAGTCTTCCTCTTCTTTCCTTTTCCTTGCCCAAAATCCAAGACAGGGTCAGCAGTAATAGGAGTAGATACAATAGATTCGCCTTTTAGACTACTCTCAGCAGGACTTAGCAGGCCTTGAATCTTGCTTAGAGTGACCTCCTCCTTCTTCATGTGGTAAGTCATACGAAACTGGTCATAGCAAGGAGGTAAGGAGTGTAGAATAATATCTATGGCCTACTCCTCATCGAAGTTAACATTTAACTTCAACAAGCGGTCCACGTATCTCTGCATTTTCTACAAGTGGGCCGTGATGGACTCTCTATCCTTCATTTTGGTAGTGATCATCGCAACAATGATCTCATACCGTTCCTGCCTGGCATTTTGATGGTAGCCTTCCATCAAATCTTGGTGCATCTCATAGGGATAGTAGTCCTCATAGTACTTTTGGAGTTCCGCAGTCATTGTTGCGAGCATGATGCAATGAACCTTCGTAGCATCTCGCTCATGAGTTTCGTAAGCAACAATTTCTTCGGGGGTGTCAGTGTTCACGTTCACCTCCTTCAGCTCCTTGTCGAGAACATACTATTTGTCATCGTAATGGGTGACCATGCGAATGTTGCGGATCCAATCATTGAAATTGGACCCATCAAATATCACCCTCCCACACAAGTTCATGAGTGAAAATGAGCCGGAAGAGGTCAAGCCAGAAGCGTTGTTGTTGTTCGAAGTAGACATCTGAAATAGAAAAGGAACAAAGTTTAGATTAGACAAGAATCCCCAATTAAACACCCAAATGAGAAATTAGGGCTAGGACCCAACACAATTCTTTACAATTCAGAAGAGGGATGCCGTAATCTAACTGCAAATATTTTGAAGGTGGGTAAATGACGATTTACCAATTTCCACCATGAAAAACGAAAAAGACAATTTAGTTTTAAATGAGTTGAAATTCTTAAATCTTTTAAGATTCATTGAACTTTTCAATGGCATGTTTAAATCTCAATATGCCCTTCAAGTTTGTGACTGGGATACCGAGGATCACAAATAAGGTGTGAATAACCATGCAAATGTACTTGGTACTCTCGATGTCATTTACCACCTAATCAATGTGCCAGTTAGCCACACACGCTCTATTAATCTATGATAAACATCGAGCTACCCTTGTTAGTCCCAAATTAATGTGCCGGTTATCCACGCACGCTCCACTAACAACTTGGCAGGGTGCAAAGTGTAATTTCATGGAATAGCATCATTTCACATTTTTCCTAAAGTAACTAAGATTGTGAATTTTATAAAAAAACATTTAGTTACTTTATTAAACATTATATTTTTAATGAGGAATTAGTTGACCTATCATACCCGTTCGACTAACGACCCTCCACCAATCAAGGAAGCGGTGAGTGAGAGTGGACACCCATTAAACTGCCATTTTATAGGCAGCAACCTTATACCCCCCTTATAGACCGGCTTCGTGAATGAGGCCTACTAACGGTAAGACTAGCTTAATCTTATAGATATATATAATTATTAATCTTATAATATTATAATAGTATAAGGGTTGAATTTTAAACTTGTAAAATTCGAGGGTTTAGGATTTAAGTATTTCAAAATTAAAACTTTTAATAAAAAATTTAAATTCCAAAACTTGAGGGCACGTTTTGAAACTTTTCAAAACATCTTTTAGATCAAATTTGAAAAATAATTAATTAATCATATTATTAATCTTTATCACATAATTTGACCTAATCTATTTTCTTGACTAGATAATTCAAATCAAAATACAAATAATTAATCTTTATCATATAAAACAAGTAATTATCTTATTTATGACAATTATCTTTGAATTGCATTAGGATAATCCATACCTTATTGAAAAAATCGGATTTTAACAGCCAAAAAATGTTTTTGGTAATTATACTAATTCAATTTCAGTCAAAATCATGAAAAATCAGCCACCAGACTGCCCGACTCAAGAGTCACAG